AATAGGAGTATGAGAAATACCCCAAAATGGAATTACATCTATCAAGAAAAATGTTCAAAGAAATCATAGGAAATCACACATGAATCCCGGAACCAGCATCTAGGAGTTGACGATTTAGCACAAGAAGCAGCAACACACTCATCCCACATCTCGCTGCCGCATGTGATACAGTTTCTGATTACCACGATGCTGGATAATGGCCTCTCTGCATTCCATCGGACTAGAGACCCATTCTTGATAAGAAAAAACACTCCCTTTCTCTTTATTTTTAAGCCATAAGAATGATTTATGTTGTATATACTCCAAAACCAACTCCGCAGACATCAACTTTGTATCAAACACCTGCATATTCCTCCGGAACCAAATAAACCAAGCAACAATCAGAAAAATGAAAGCCCCTAAATCCGCCAAACGACCTCCACTAATACCATGCGTCACAAACTCTGCCAAATCAAAAATGTCGTTCGACAAAACCCCCTGTAATCCCCACCATCGCAACACCTCCATCCACACTAACCATGCTCCTTTACACTCACAAAAAATATGATTTACTTGATCTACACCCACCCCACATACTCCACAACTCACATCCCCCCCCAGCCGTGCAATCCCTCTCTTAAATAGGTTATCCTTAGTTGCCAACCTATCCAAAAATAATCGCCACCCAAAAACACTCACTTTCGATGGAGCAAACTTACACCAAATGATTCTCACCCATTTCTTAGCCAAAAGATCATCGTAAGGAGCTAAAAAAGCATATGCCTCCTTAACAGAATAAACCCCAATAGTACTATGAGCCCATCTCCATGAATCATCTTTATTCTCCTTTACTGTGATCCTATTGATAATCTCCCTAAACCTTTCTTCCTCTTCACCAACCCTCCCCGAACAGCTTCGTCGCCATTTACAATCCCATACCCATGTGCCCTCCTTCCAAAAACCCATATCCTTCAACATCCCCTCCTTGTTCAATGATAACGCATACAACCTCGGAAATAAATCCTTTAAAGGTTTATCACCACCCCACTTAGCATCCCAAAAAGCCACTCGACTTCCATCCCCAATCTCCCATTTAAAGCCTTTTCCTAGCATTAAACTCAACCTCTCCAACCCACTACCAACACCCACAATGTCTTTCCACACTCGAGACATACGCAAGGAACTGAAAAAAGTAATATCACCCTCCTGTCGACCCCCATAATACTTCTCCCAAATCACCCTCTTCCATAATCCCCCTACCCCATCCCTTAACCTAAACCACCACTTACCCAATAAAGCCCAGTTTCTCCTCTTTAAATCATCCACTCCTAATCCCCCTCTCTCCTTATCAACACAAATATGATCCCACCTTACCCAAGCAATTTTCCTCTCCAAATTTGTTCCACCCCAAAAGAAATCCCTCTGAATCTTAACCATCTCACCAAGAACACAATTTGGAATTTTAAATAAGGACAAGTAAAAAATAGGAAGAGCAGAAAGTACCGAGTTGAGCAAGGTAATCCGACCTCCAAAGGACAGCAGTGAACGTTTCCAGGCGGCAAGCTTATTCCGAAAGCGATCCAATACCGAAACCCAAAACTTTTTCCTCCCCGAAATTCCTCCAACCGGTAAACCAAGATAAATAAAGGGCATCGTTCCTATCTTGCAATGCAAAATGTCAGCTGCACCATTTACCCACCCTTCTGTAACATTAAACCCATACAAATGGCTCTTGCAAAAATTGATCTTCAATCCCGAAATTAGTTCGAATCAGTGTAGAATAGCCTTCACTGTCCTTAAATTTTCTACCTCTGCCTTGCCCATAAAAACAGTATCATCCGCAAATTGTAATAAAGACACGACCATACTACCTTCTCCAATCTTGACTCCTCTGAAAAGCCCTTCTGCCTCTGCTTTTCTAACCATACCACACAACCCTTCACCTACTAACAAAAACAAAAGTGGGGACAATGGATCACCTTGACGAAGACCCTTGCCAACCGAGAACTCCTTTGTCGGACTTCCATTTATTAAAATAGAAATTCGAGTCGTCGAAAGACATTCCTGAATCCATTTTCTCCACATAACTCCAAACCCCATTTGTTCCATCATCCAATCCAGAAAGTTCCAATCCACACAATCATATGCTTTCTCAAAATCCGCCTTAAAGATAAAACTCTCTTGTTTTCTCTGTTTCACCTCATCTACCACCTCATTCAAGATTAGCACACTATCTACCAGTTGCCGACCTCCGACAAAAGCTGACTGTGAATCACTAATAAGATCTATCATCACCAATTTTAAACGATTCGCCAGTATTTTTGCTAGTAGTTTGTATAAACAACCAATCAAGCTAATGGGTCTATACTCCTTAAAATGCACTGGATTTGCCTTTTTAGGGATTAAAGCCAAAAAAGAGGAATTTAAACCTTTTACTAACCTCCCATGTTGGTGGAATTCACAGAAAAACTTCACAAAATCCTCTTTTAAAGTACTCCAGGCAAATTTTATAAAATTGAAATTATAGCCATCTGGTCCTGGTGCCTTTGCCCCATCACAGCTCTGTAGACCCTCCTCAATCTCTTCCACTGAAAAAGGCCATTCTAACCACTCCCTTTGTGCAGTTGAGATTCTGTTGAAATGGATTCCTCCCAACACTGGCCGCTTCCACTGTTCATTCTGAAACAACTGACTAAAATACCTCACTGCCTCCTCTTTCACCCTACTTGGCTCCTCAACCCACCCATCCTCTCCTAAGATACCTGAAATTGCATTTTGTGCTCTCCGTGCATGTACACATCTATGGAAAAAAGCAGTATTTGCATCTCCAAGACGAATCCAATTATTTCTTGACTTCTGCTTCCACATGGCCTCTCTTTTCCTCAAAATTTCCCACATCTCCTGAAAACACTCCCTTCGGAATAACACCTCATTCTCATCTAATTCAACTTCTTCACTTTTTATATCCAGCTCTTCAATTTCCTTGGATAATATCCCCCATCGAGTCTCCACATTACCAAAAACTTCCTTATTCCACCTTTTACACTCATCCTTCATTAACTTCAACTTCTGCTTGCATTTATAAGCCGCCCACCCTTCAACTTGCATGGCTTTCCACTTATCGTCTACAAAACTTCTAAAATCTGGATGTTGTTGCCACACATCCATTACCCGAAAAGGCTTTGGACCCCAATCTGTATTCCTTGCCTTCAGGATTATTGCACAATGATCAGAGACTGACCTTGCCA